AGTATAGTGTTACCATGTGAATGACCAAGCCTATTCCTATAGCATTACCCGACTGATTTGAAAACATAATTACACAAAGAACTGCACACAAATGTTTATGGCAGCTTTGTGTATAATAATCACAAACTAGAGGCAACCAACATGCCCTTCTAGGTAAGTTGGTAAACAAATTATGGTATATCCATACAATGGAATATCATTCAGCAATAAAAAAAAAAAATGAGACATCAATTTACAAAAAAGACATGGGGAATGTTAAATGCATATAAGTGAAAGAAACCAATCTTAAAAAGTTACATTATGATTCCAACTATATAAAATTCTGGAAAAAGCAAAACTATAGAGACAATAAAAGATCAATGCTTGCCAGGGATTTTGGAGATGGCTGGGATTGAAGAGGTGAAGCACAGTTGATTTTTAGAGTGCTGAAACTATTCTGCATGATGCTGTAATGATACATAGATGATATTATGCATTTGTCAAAACCCACAGACCTGTACAACACAAAATGTCGACCTTAGTGTAAACTATGGATTTTATTTAATAATAATATATTGGTTCACTGATTATAACAAATGTATTCCACTAATCTTACAAGTGGCTAATAGGAAGATAAACTATGTGCAGAGGGAGTGTGTGGAAACTTTCTGTACTATCTGCTCAATCTTTCTCTAAACATGTCAGGAGAACTCAGAAAAGTCTGGCTAAGGGAACCATGCCTTTTTCCATCCTTTTTTCCCATTTGGCCAATGACCAGATAGCTTGTGGAGGACTACTTGTTACCCTTTCATGATATTTTTTTTTGTCTTTATAGAACTAGGATATCCTTGGTTTTCCCTACATAAATTGGCATATCTCTACTGTTAAACTCTACCTTGTTACCCACTTTATTTTATTTTACAGCAAATATCACAGTCTATTTTATTACTAGCTTAGGTGTTTATTATCAATCTCTTCTCACTGGTGTGTAAACTCGTAGGCACACTGCTATTCTCTGTTCCTTGTCCAACATCAGCCTCTAGAGCAATGGCTAGCAATCATTATTGGTTTAATGACTGGATGAGTTTTTCCTGTATGCATGGTTCAGGAGGAGAGAAAAAGGAGGAGAGAAGAAGGAAAATGATAGTGAGATATCACCAAATCTGATCCCACACCACATGGGTCTACTAAGAAAACATTAATATAAGACACAGGGATACTTTTCTACACTCAATAGATACATTCTTGAGAAGTTTTTTTTTTTTTTTTAATCATGAAAACACCTTTCATACATCAGGGCTTGTGAATTCTTTAAATAATACTTTCCAACATATAATGGTTCAGTATTAATTTTGTAAATCCGGATTTCCCTAAATTTGCTTGGCTTATCATATATATAAAATATATGGTATCAAAAAAATATGTGGTATCAGTTATCATCACTTGCCAAATTGTTCCATGGAACAACTTCATGAATTAATAAGAAGTATTACTTACCTATATTTGCCAGAGGATGCTTTGACCAGGCAACTGATAGACACTTTTCCTTAAACAAAATCTAAAAGGCTTTTTATCAAAGAGTTCTCGGAACCTCTTTGTATTCTGATTCTCCAACAGGCAGCTATTCAAACTCATTAGTACCCTTTGAAAAATTATTATTCCACTCCTATTAGCAATTTTACTTTGGATATCTAATAGCATTTTCAATTCAATCCATCAAAAAATAAACCCCTGATATTACCGCCAAAATAGGTTACACCCAGAGCCTTCCTCATCTCCAGGGATAGCAACTCAGTCCTTCCTGATTCACAGGGCTCCAGCTATGGGGTCATCCATGACTTGTCTCTCTTAGTCAACTTCACATCTAATCCATCAGGGAATGCTGTTGACTCTACTGTAAAATACATCCATATACTAACTTTTCCCACCTCCTCTGCAATCTCCCTTGTCAGGAACCATCATAATGTTCACATGGTTACTCTATGCCTCTTACTGGTCTTTAGGACTTGACTTTAGCCACTAATGTCAATTTTTCCTGCAGCAGGTGGGATGAATTTCCAAAAATGTTTTGGTCTAACCATGTCAATCCTCAGTTCAAACCCAAAGATGGTTCCCGCCTCACTCCACTATAAGCCCAATCCCTAGTAGAAGATGCCTAGTCTTCAGATAAGAGTCTTCCTGGTATTTCCCCATTAAATCTCTGACTTCCTTTCTCATCTTCTCCCTTTCTCCCTTCATTCCAACCATTCTGGCTTCCTTGCCATGGCTCAGCCATATCAGTCATGAACTCACTGTAGGGCCTTGGCATGGCTGTTTCCAGGATATAAAATATTCTTCATTGATGTTGTTAATCCTCTCACTTGCTTCAAGTTTTTGTTTAAACGTCATCTCCAGGAGACCCACACTGACCTTTCTGTTTGAAATTGAAATGTGCATCTATCCCCTTTCAGCAAGTCCTATCCTCATAACACTGATCAATGTTTTCTCTACAACGCTTAACAATTTAACATACTATGTATCATTTTGTTGTCACAGTTATAGTTGCTTTTCCCTCTGGGTTCTTATGCAGGATCTTAACAGTATGGGGGCCTTGCAGAAGTCCGAGCTCTTTGTTACGGAGCTCAGTGTACACACCTGGCCAAGGGAACAAAGATGCTAAAGGATTCAGGGGAAGACGTCAGCAAGCCTGGCCAGTAATTCAGGCCAGCAAGCTCAGCCAGCAGGGAAACGAACGTATGTGGGAGCTACACAGAAGTCCTTGCTTCACCCCTGCCCCTCAAATCTTGCATAAGGATATTCTTTACTGCCCACCCTAACCAGAATTATACAGAGTGAGAATTCAGGGAAATGTAATACAAACTAGCCAAGTGAATGTTTGAGAAAGCCACAACAATCAGCAATTAATTAACAAATAGATACTATTATAGCTGAGTATGCATAGTATATACCTTAACTTAAACACAAGCAGCTCCCCAAAGAATCTTCGCTACAGGATTTTCCAAGTCAAAATGTTTAGAAAGTAAACTCAAGTACAAACAGGCTAGCAAACTCCCTAATTAAGCTCAGTTGAATCATCCTGATGAAAGAAAGCTGTATTATACCTTAAATTTTTAGCCTGCAATTTAATTCTTGGAAAGCAAATTGCTGTAAGAAATCTATGTAGGTATAAAACAAACCCCATGTAAATATAATCAGTAACAGAAACAGCTCATCTAGAGCTGATTAAAATGATGTCACCACCTATTCATTACCAGAAAGCCTCCTAGATCTTCAAACTTTAAGCAGATGCCAAAAGTATTTGTTATTTTAAAAAGAAATGAAAAAGAAAAACACTATGAATTTGGACGTAAAAAATTTCCGAGTTCCAGATAAACATGAGAAATATGGTGCATTAAAATGGAAAGTTATACTGTTTGTACTTGTTCAGTAAATGTCGCCATCATTATTCTTAGTTTGTTGGCATAATAATGCATCTTCAGAAAGGGTTAGGGATGAAATACCAAAAACGAACACATTTTTAATACTTTCCATTTCTCACATGCTTCTATAATCTTACCTCAAATCATGTTTGCCAGGGATATTGTTATTCCATTTAATCATCCAACCTCAAAGCACTCATTGTTGATTTGAATTTGGTACATAGTATCTCATGTTTTCCCTCAGAAAAAATAACCCGGTTCATCTATTTCTCTGACTCTGACTGTGTGTTTCTAAGTAGCAATAACAGAGGCAGCAAGAGCATATTTAGAGTAACTTTCACCTTATTCCAACTATGCCCAAAGGCGCTGCAGACAGCTGAGCTGTGATTGTCTCATATTTCACAGGGCACACACACCGGTGCCTCAACAGCTTTGCTTTTACGACTTCCCTTTCTCTTTGACACACAGAATCAATATCCACTAAGCCTAGTGATTCTGTTTAATGTATGTGAGCATGCATAAATCGTTTAAAAGACATATTAAGGGACACCCGGGGGCTCAGTCAGTTAAGCAGCCGACTCTTAATTTGGGCTCAGTTCACCATCTTAAGAGTCATGAGATCGAGCCTTGCGACGACAACAGGCTCCGCACTCTGTGGGGAGTCTGCTTGAGGTTCTCTCTCACCCTCTCCCTCTGCCCCTTCCCCTGACCACACTCTCTCTCTCTCAAATTAATAAATAAATCTTTAAAAAATAATAAATAAATAAAATACATATTGATCTGTTGTTCCATACCAAACACCGTGCAAAATGCTGAGCCTAAAGCCCTGAACAGAGACTATGAGTCCTTCCCTCATTGAGCTTACAGGACAGAAGGGCTCTTGAATCCATCTTAGCTGAGAAAAGAGGTAGAACTGAAATAAAACAAAAGCATTCATTTGGGGTTAGTGATTTTAAAGACAAAAGGAAACGCTTGTATATGTCATGTACAAAGAAATTTTGATTGGTGTTGGCAGCAGAAAACTAATCTTGGCTAAACATAATTGGTTGCTAGGGCTATCACTATGAAAAATCCTGTTACTATATCAAGTTGCAAGTTTTTCAGGCAGAGTCCTTGAAACATCTGTGGTTTGGCTGAGTTCAAAAGTTCATGGTTTCACCAGTGGGGATGTGCATAAGGCTCACCTCCTCGATGGCTTCCTGGCTCCATTTCAAATCCCTTGACATAAGTGACCCCATTGCATTTCATCTTTCACAATTTCTTCAACTCAGTTCTTTCAAAGACCATGCAAATCTCAGTTCCTCTGGCCTGGAATATTTCTTTTTTTTTTTTTTTTTCTGTTTAAAATTGTTAACATTTATTGTACTAATGCAATATGAATTTTTTTAAAGATTTTATTTATTTATTTGAGAGAGAGAGAATGAGAGAGAGTGAGTACATGAGAGGGGGGAGGGTCAGAGGGAGAAGCAGACTCCCTGCCGAGCAGGGAGCCCGATGTGGGACTCGATCCCGGGACTCCAGGATCATGACCTGAGCCGAAGGCAGTCGCTTAACCAACTGAGCCACCCAGGCGCCCCATGCAATATGAATTTTTAACATAACCAGTTTTTCATTAAAATGTTCAACCATTTCCTACTGAAGCATGTCCAAAGTTATAAAAATCTTCTCTTTTAAAGTAACCTATAGTGAATTAATCCAAAGTAACTGTGGCATTTTAGAGAAGACATTTACTCCATTGCATATTTTAAGTAACTAAGGATAGCCTGATCAATAGCACGTTACTGGAAAGAATAAAGAAAGCATAGCTTTCTTTAAGGAGTGAGTCGTTTGGGATCACGGGGAAACATTGAGGTCTGACGAACATTGTGCAATCCCAAAAAAAGCATCGTCACTCGTTCCAACCCAATGCCTCCGCCAGCATGAGCTCCAAAGCGGAAGGAATCAATGTATGCCTTAATTCTCTCCACATCAATTCCATGATGTAAGGCTTGCTCTGTTAGCAGCTGAGGATCATGTGTTCTTTGAGCTCCTGATAGTATTTCTTCTCCTCTCATGAACATAAGAGTTGGACTGTTTAGGATTTCTTGGGTCAGGCACGGTATAGAAAGGTCTTACAGCCAATGGATATTTATCAAGAATATAAAAGTCTGTATCATACTTTTCCTTTACCAAACGACCCAAGAGTTTTTCAGTTGGTGTACTCAGATCTTCTCCATCTCCCATTTCGATTCCAGCTTCCCTAAGCATAGCCAATGCTTCACAATACTCGAGTCTTAAAGTTGGCTCCAAAAATTTGAATGGCTCACACGGGAATTGTTTATTCACTGTCTGAATTTCAGTTTGAAACCTTTTTTGGAGTCCTTTGAATATTTGTACTAAGGTGTCAGCAATTTCTTCCACAACTTCATGGTAATGGTAATTAAAAGCCACTTCAATGTCCAAACCAACAAATTCAGTTAGATGTCTGTGGGTGTTTGAGTCTTCAGCTCTGAATACTGGTCCAATACAGAAAACCTTCTCAAAATCAGCACAAATACACATTTGCTTGTACAGCTGTGGGGACTGGGCCAGGTATGCATTATTTTTAAAATATGACACAGTAAATACATTGCTCCTCCTTCACTGGCAGCTGAGATAATTTTAGGAGTTTGGATCTCCATAAAACCCTTGTGAATTAAAGTTTCTCTGAAAAGATGGCAGATGCCAGACTGGAGACAGAAGACTGCCTGACTAGTTGATGTCCTAAGATCAATGACTCTGTTGTCTAATCTTGTATCCTGGTTAACAGTAGCTCTTCCTTCCTCTTCTCCTTCCACCTCAGGCCGGATAGCATCATCCAGCTGCAGGGGCAGGCGGGGTTCAGCCAAACTGATCACATAAATCTTTTGAACATGTAACTCTACGTCTTGCTGTGTACAGCTTCCATTTTCTGATTCACTTTTCTCACTACACCTTCTACATCTACGATGCTCTCTTTGTTAATGTTGGCAGCAAATTTAACCATCTGCTTGCTTGCATGGTCTCCCACCGCCACGAGTGCCTGGACATTAAACTGCTGCTGACGTAGGACTAAGAAACACTGCTTCCCTTTAGCTCTACTTGCATGAACCCTTGCACGCACCCAAACAACTTCATCAGCTTTGTGTACTGTCAAGTCACTAACCCGAACCAAAACTCGATCTGGTTTTTCTTGTGATTGCATCATTGAAGATACTCCATATCTTTCTTTAGCATGATCTTCCGCCGCATCCATGATCTCCCGCGGCTTCTCCCGACTCTTGCGGCTTTGGTTGGCGCTGGGCATCGGGACAATGGGACCGGGCAGCGGTCACCACCCCTCTCGCAGGCAGGCTTCCGTAGGACAGGCAACGGGGCTGCTCTCTGCCCTGGCCTGGAATATTTCAATAGCCTAATTACAGAAGACCTCTTGTACCCCAATCATAGAAGACTTTGGTTTTTAATTCACAAGATGACAGAGTTATTTGTTAAAATACTTTTCATATTTCTTGTTTCATTTTGTTCATTTTTTATTTAGGATAAAATGGAAAATTTTCACATACATGCAAGTTTGGTTTTTTTTTTTATCAGACTTCTTAGTTTATATCTGTGTAGTCTTATTGAAAAACCTTAAATGACTCTAACCACCTATAGGACAAATATAAAATTCTTAACCTGGCATTCAAGGCCTTCTAAAATCTGGCTCTGATTTTTTTTTTTTTTTTCCCTGACAACATCGTCACATATAGTTATTGATCTGGTAGAAATGGGTTGTTTATATTTTGTCCTCTCATGTTTCATGCCTTTATATCCTTGTTTAAGCTATTTCTGTCACCCTTATTTTATCCCTACTACTAATTTATGTTTATAAAAATTGTCTTATCCTTAAAGATTACTGCAAAAGGCCTATGTTCCATGTACTTTTCCAAAAAGCATTGCTAGCTCCCTTCCCTGCTCACATGGTAAATGTGTGTATGTCTTTTATGTAGCTTACCACATAGGGCCTTGTACCACAGTCATTTCTATGTGCCTCATTATCTTACCAGCTTACAGAATCCTTGAAGGCAAAAACCATATGTGTGTGTGTGCGTGTGTCTGTGTCTGTGTGTGTCTGTCTGTGTTATTTTTCTTCTTCTTCTTCTTTTTTTTTTTTGCCTGTGTCAGATTCTGGTTTGCAATATGGAAGCTATTATACATGGTAAAATACTAAAAGTTTACACATGCCTATTATACATATTTGTAGTACAGAACTGTGTACATAAATATGAGCACCATATTTTAAGAACACAATGGAGAATACTCAAATGTAATTTTGCCTGTACATAATGTTATTTTCTTCTCAAAAAACTTTTTGAGTAAATTTTGATTGACATGCACTTTTAAGAGTTAACAGAGACAGATCCTATGTACCCTTTACACACTCTCCTTCAATGGTAAAAACTTGGAAAACTAGTACAATATTACAACCGATATTGTATTAGTTTCTGACAAAACTTTCAACAATTTTAGAATAAATGGAAGCTAACTCATCTTGATCTACAAAAAGCACACAGTTGACTATGAAGATGTGAAGGAATTGGAATGCTTATGCATTTAATGATTACTTTGGCTATTCTAGCACCAGAGCTTTTGCTTTAGAATATTCTCATCTGTCTATAAAAAATTGCTAGTATGTGGTGTGTACACACACACACACACACACACAATGGAATATTATGCAGTCATTAAAAGGAATGAGATCTCGCCATTTGCAACGACGTGGATGGAACTGGAGGGTGTTATGCTGAGCGAAATAAGTCAATCAGAGAAAGACATGTATCATATGACCTCACTGATATGAGGAATTCTTAATCTCAGGAAACAAACTGAGGGTTGCTGGAGTGGTGGGGGTTGGGAGGGGTGGGGTGGCTGGATGATAGACATTGGGGAGGGCATGTGCTATGGTAAGCGTTCTGAATTGTATAAGACTGATGAATCACAGACCTGTACCTCTGAAACAAATAATACATTATATGTTTAAAAAAAAAAAAAAAAAAGATAGTAGGAAGGGAAAAATGAAGGGGGAAAATCAGAGGGGGAGACAAACCATGAGAAACTATGGACTCTGAGAGACAAACTGAGGGTTCTAGAGGGGAGGGGGTGGGGGGATGGGTTAGCCTGGTGATGGGTATCAAAGAGGGCAAGTACTGAATGGAGCACTGGGTGTTATATGCAAACAATGAATCATGGAACACTACATCAAAAACTAATGATTGGTGAAAACTAATATGGTGATTAAAATAACATAATAAAATTTAAAAATGTAAAAAAAAAACATGAAAAATACAATAAACCAAGCCAAATTACAAAAACAATTGCTAGTATTTCACATTCAATCTATAGGTCAACTTGGGTGAGAACCGACCTCTTTACTATGATGAGTCTTCCATAATCATGGAGTCCATGAGTCCTTGAACATATTATTTCTCTCCATATGTTTAAATCTTCTTTGATTTGAATCAGCAACATTTTCTCACGTCCAGCATACAGATCCTGTACATGTTTTGTTAAATTTTTACCAAAATATTTACTTCTGCCAAGATTTTGAATGTACTGTGTTTTTTAATTTTTGTTTCCTCATGTTTATTGTTAGTATGTGGAAATGCAAATGAATTTTCTGTATTTATCTTATATCCTATAATCTCGCTCAACTCATACATTATTTCTAGGAGTTTTCTGCAGATACATTTTGATTTTTTTAATTATGTCATTGGCAAATAGGGATAGGTTTGGGTTTTTTTTTAAGATTTTATTTATTTATTTGACAGAGAGAGAGACAGCAAGAGAGGCAACCCAAGCAGGGGGGGTGGGAGAGGGAGAAGCAGGCTTCCTGCCGAGTAGGGAGCCCGATGCAGGGCTCAATCCCAGGACCCCAGGATCATGACCTGAGCAGAAGGCAGACACTTAATGACTAAGCCACCCATGCGCCCCTAAATAGGTATAGTTTTATTTTTTTCATTTCCACAATGTATGACATTTACTTTCCAGGACTGTTTTGAGTAAGAATGAGAGTGAATATTCTTGCCTTGTTCATAAATACTGGAAAAGCATTTATTCTACCACTATACATATCATGTTAGCTGTGTGGTTTTTGTAGATGTTCTCTCTCAAGATGAGTTGCTTTTTTTCCATTTATTCTTAAACTGTTGACAGTCTTGTCATGAATGAGTGTTGGATTTTGTCAACTGTGGTTTCTGCATCAATTGATAGGACTGTATATTTTCTTCTTTAGCCCATTAATATGGCAGATTACAGTTTGATTTTTGAATATTGAATATGCCTTGCTAATTCATAAAGCAACTTAGTGTTTAACATTTTTAGGGACTGCTAAATTGTCTTTCCATTTGACTACACTATTTTACATTCCCAACAGCAATGCATGAGCATTCCTTCTTATCCTCACATTTAGCACTAGATAGTATCTTTTTGAGTAGAGCAATCCTAGTGGTTTGACTTTAATTTCCCTAATAATGTTAAATGTGTTTTCATATGCTGATCGTCCAATTACATACCATCATTGGAGAAACATTTATTCAAATGCTTCACCCATTTTTTAATTGGGTCATTTGTCTTTTTATTACTGAGACATAGAGTTTTTATACGTTCTGGATACAATTTCTTTATCAGACATAGTTTGAAATCTTTTGCTTCATTCTGTATGTTGTCTTTCACTTTTCTTAGTGGCACCATATGTAGCACCAAATTTATTAATTTTACTAATTTATGTATTTTTTATTTGTTACTTGAGCTTTTGTTTCCTATCATAAGAAACCATTGCCTAACCAAATTTCATGAAGGCTTAATTCAGTGTTCTATTCTAAGACTTTTATAGTTTTAGCTCATATATTTAGACATATAATCCATTTTATTTTTTTTTTTAAGATTTTTTTTTTTTTATTTGAGAGAGAGAGAATGAGAGACAGAGAGCATGAGAGGGAGGAGGGTCAGAGGGAGAAGCAGACTCCCTGCCGAGCAGGGAGCCCGATGTGGGACTCGATCCCGGGACTCCAGGATCATGACCTTAGCTGAAGGCAGTCTCTCAACCAACTGAGCCACCCAGGCGCCCCATATAATCCATTTTAAGCTAATTATTATTTATGGTGTGATGAAGTGATACTTGATTATTTTGTCTGTGTACATCCAGTTGTCCCACAACAAGTTGTTGAAAAGACTACTTTTCCTACCCAATTCTTTTAGCATTTTTGTTGAAAATCCATTTGCTACAAATGTAAGGGTTTATTTCTGGAATCTTAATTACATTCTTTTGTTTATGTCTTTCCTTATAGCCCCATCACACTTCCTGGTTACTGTAGCTTTGAAGTAAGTATTGAAATCTAAAAGTGTGAGTCTTTTAACTTTATTCTTCTATTTCAAGATTGGATTTGATAACTTCAGTCCTTAGAAATTCTATATAAATATTAGAACCAGTTGCTCATCAATTTTTGCAAGAAAGCCAATTGTGGTGTATGTAATCATGTAATCATGTAATCTATAGATCAGTTTGTAAAGTATAATTCTCTTAATAATTAAAGTATAATTCTCTTAGTATAATTCTCTTAATAATATTGTCCTACAATCAGTGAAAATGTAATGTCTTTCTAATTATTTACGTCTTTAACTTCCTACAATGTTGTGTTTTTCATTGTACATGTTTTGTTCTGCTTTTGTTAAATTTATTCTAAGTGAATTTGTTTTATTATTTTCAATGCTAATGCAAAAGGAATTGCTTCCTTGATTTCCTTAAAAAACTATTGCTAGTTTATAAAAATATAACTCATTTTATGCTGTTGTTGTAGTTGCAACTCTTTTTAACTGGTTTATTAGCTCTATTTTTTTGTGTGGGGATTTTATAGAATCTTCTACCTAGAAGACCATGCCATTTACAAATAAATATAGTTTTATTTATTTCTTCCAATATGGATGCCTGTTATTCCATTTCCTTGCCTAATTGTGCTACTAGAACTTTCTGTCACAGATGAATAGAAGGGGCAAAAACAAGTACTTTTGTTTCAGAACTTACCAAGAAAGTCTTTAGTCTTTAATTATTAAGAATATTGCCTGCTGAGGGTTTTTCAAAGCTGCTCTTTATCAGAACGAGGGAGTTGCCTTCCTTCTAGTCTGTTGAGTATTTTCATTATGAAATGGTGTTATATTTTGCCAAAAGATTTTTTCTGCATTATTGAGATAATCACATTTTAAGTTACTTTAATAACATAGGATTTTACATTAATTGATTTTTTTCTTATGTTAAGCTGTCTTTCATTCTAGTGATACACACTGCAGGGTTTGGTGTATAATGTTTTTATGTGTTGCTAGGTC